TACACATAATCGGTTGGAATAATTGCACTTAATCTAAGAATCATGAGTTTATCTCTTTTGCTATGAATGAAAGTTACCAAAAAATCCTTCTATTTGAAGAACAAGATATATTTCTCATTTTTTTAAGGAAAAAAAAAGAAAAAACCTTATCTTAAATATATCCGCTTGGCTCGGATCTCAAGTTTTTATAGTCTCATCTCAGGCTTTTACAAAATGTCAAAAGAACCTAAATGGTATCATTATTGTCAGGTGCCCACTCTACTTCACCAAGTTTGAGATATGAACCTCTGTCATGCAATGGAGATTCTTTTATTGTGACACTTCTTCAAAAAGAACAAAGACGCCAATGTTTTGGACCCTTTCGCCAAATCGCAACAGCCTTTCAACGCTTACTGGAAACACTGACTTTTGTTTCAAAAGCCGTTTATCTACTTGAATTATTGTTTCGACGTCTGAGGTATAGTTTTGGGGGAGCAATTAGGATTTTCAACTTGTCTGGAGGCATCATCTTTTGAGACGTTGATAGTTTTCTAAATATTTTTCTGTACGGATGTCCACTGTTTAAACCTACATAAACATCTCATCGAGGAATTCTATCTTTTTCAATCTTCTCATTTATAGATATTTCACGTTGTCTTGAAAGCCTATTTCGATTATTTTGAAATTGTTGTCTAAAAGATATCGGGGTTTATCGCAATGACAGCGTTTTATTTATTATGTGTTAAGTGTTTAATGGCCAGTGTAAAGTAAATCATTGTTAATTTGTTACCTAGTTTTTGGGGAGAGAATGTGCTTCGAATATGAAATGGAATAAACACTTAAAAAAATTGAGTAATATTTGAGTATTGTAAATAGTATTGAGAACAAAAATGAGTGATATTTGGGATGGTCTTATAATTTTGTAACACCCTGTATTATATCTAACCTTTATTATTTATTATAATTATTTTTTTATATTTGCAACTGGATCAGTGTGTTATACCAATGTACACCTTGAAATATCTATGTCATTTTAATATCGTTATAACGGTATTTAAGAAGTATTTTCTTTTGTATTTTCAGTACCATGTCTTTCAATAATTATCGGTTTTAAGGTTAATCCATCGACAACGAAAAATATTGATTATGATAACGTAGTGAAATTTATCAAAAAGAATAATAATCGAATGTGATAATTATAATATTGCAATAATTATTGACAACTATAGGTATCCATAGCTGCCAACTCTTCCGGTTTTCCAGGAAGATTTTATTTTCATATTTAAAGTGCTAGCGAAATTCATGTTATTTCACTAAACTTTTTGAATTATAATAATAATTTTAAGTCAGTTTGACCACCACTACATATAAATAATTACAACAAATATATAAAAGCATATTATTCCTCAGGATATAGAATTTCAACCTGATTAAAATACAAATATATTTTTGAGGGGGATAGTTTTTCGGTAATTGTTTTACTACCACTGGGAAAATCCATTCTCGAAAAGAGTGAATGTTGGCAGGTATGTGTATCAAGTATGATAATATCGCCTGTGTTATCGATAACAATACTTATAAAATACGATACTATCGTGTGTCTTTATCTTTAAAATTTCATTTTAGTGACAGAAATATTGTTCAATGCAAATTAGTTGAATTAAAAAAAATATCGTGAATTATCAACATACGTGGAGAAACATGGTGGCATTAAAATTTAGATGTCGTCCATTACTATTCAAAGGTACCTGAAGTAGGCAAGACAAGTAAATTAATATACAGATTGCTGCAACTACTTTCTTCTAGATCAAGATTCTTTTTTTTTTTGTAATCTAATGTCAGCTCGTTTGATATCTGGTAGGCTGTTCTGGAATACCTCTTTGTGTGGCCCCTCCTGATACCGTCACTCACTGTTATTTCTATCAGCTAAAAGTTTTTTCATTCCATAAAAATCTCGAAGTCATATAGCAGAGCATTCAGTATATTGTGATGAAGAATGTCGGTGGAATTACAAAGCCACTTGAGTAGTAGAATAGATGGTGGTATGGAAGTCACCACGCGAGGCTCTCTTCCTTCAGATTCGTCTCTCAAATTAGCACATTGCGTCATGTGGCCCTAAAGAGTCTGTCATCAGCAGCACTCACAGATGTGAACTGGCAGCTGAGATAGAAAAAAAGAGGAATTGGCTGACACCACTCTGTTGGGTGTCTAGCGCCCTCGAACAAGAGACATCTGAAGACAATTAAGTTATGCCAACTGAGCAAAGTCTCTTGCAAGTTTACCGCAATTTGTTAAAGGTAATTGAGTTCGTTTGTTACACCAGCTGATCTATTGTTTTGTTAACAAGGAAAAAAGGAGACACTACGTATCAATGCCATTTCTTTCAAGCACTAAAAAGAGTTTTCTACGGAAGACAATTTATCATTTTAAATTTTTGATTGCTCTATATAACCATGACTAAGACTGGTAAACGAAATTCATGATGCCATCAGGTAGAAATTTATTACAAAATTACAACGAGCTAATTTTTTTTCCTTCAAAATTGAGCGATAAGGAGTTAAATTGGGGGTTAAAAAGATCATTGCGCCATTTTGGGAGTTGGTGCACTTTTTGCGTAGAAGTTGCAAGAGGTTTGACCACAAAAAATATAATAAAATGTTAAGTGCAAATCTAATGAAATAATTCTATTGAAAATTTAAAAAGTTGGATATTTTTTAACTAAAGTTTACTTTCTTTTAATATAGAAAACCACATTTTTACAATACTACTGATATTCAAATATTTAGCAGTGTAGTCAATCCCATGCGCCATTGAAATCCAAGTTCATGAATTTGATTGGTCAAACGGAGGATACAGTTTTGAATGAAAGATTTTGTCTTAATTTTTAAGCACAAATAAGGAAGTGTATTAAGACAATCTTATAATATAAATTCTTAATTTGTTTGACGTTTTTCATAAAATGTGGATTTTGGAAGCAATCTTCTTTTTCCAGCAAATCTTTTATTTTAATTTCTGGATTAAGTTGAGTGTCACCAAATGTGATTGTAAGACGTTGTTTATTGATATGTTATGTTATGACACGTGATATATTGAATATGTTATTTACTATTCTAATTCTAGGTAGAATAAAATTATTACGTAAAAAGTACTAAACATATAAAATTTAAATTTTAAAAATGCTTATACTTTCCTTAAATTAATTTTTTTAAAGACATTTGTTGTTAAGAAATACACGATTAAAATTGACACTGTTATTATCATTATTTTTACTCCGATAACTACTATGTAAAATAAACTTTTGAGTAATTAAGACTATTTACAAAACGTCAAAAAGTTTTGACAGAAAAACAACAAATTTATTTTGCCACCAAATGTATGTGTTCATAAAGCTTAACAAAATAAACAAGTTAATAAAATGTGATGACCCAGAAAAAAAATGCAAATCTTCCAACATCTTCAACTCCACTGGGAGACGAAACAGATGATTAAGTGCTCAAGAGTTAGTGGATTAAAATAGCGCCCAAGCTATGTGGGTGGTTTTGTGAAAAATTGAGAAGATAGTAAGTTATGGTGGGAGGACTGCGAGATAGGGAAGGGTGCAGTTAGAATATTAACTCTACTTGAGATGAGCAAATCATTAATCATTGGCTCGTCAGATGAGGGAGAAGAACAGAGATGATACTAATTGCCTCCTTTTGTTTGATGCATGTTGGTTTATAAAAAAGTTTAACTTTATGCGAGAGAAAAAAATAGCTAAGTTAGGGCTAGGGGCAAACGCTGTGCCAGTTGTTTCAACAAATATCTTACACTGAGATCGAAAAGAAATTTTAAGCATTTTATTCATTGCGTAGTAATTTTTGATTGATTAATTAATGAATTGCACTCTGATTTTAAGCAAAGTTACTAATTACTTATTTTATATTTTATACAGGGTTATTCTTAATTCCCTCCGGGATTTCGAAGCGTTATAGTAAAAAAACGAAGACGAATATGACAAAAAAAGAACATATGAAATTATTCCGGAAGTATTCAAGTTTTAATTTAAGCAGTTGCCGGTAGATGGCAGTAACATGTACCGCTGAAGCCAGTTGTAGTAAACATAAGGTTGTAGTAAACAGAGGGAATTGTGAATAATAATGGGTTATATCCGTCGTTGAACAGCCGATCCAGTTTTTGGGCTTACGACTACTAATGTTCAACTCCGTAGCCTTGTAATTTTGAACCAATCCAGAAGACAAGGAAACTCATGAATCATTAAACCCAGAGGTATGATTTGTTATGGGAACATGGAGGACTTTGTGACTCGACAGATTTAACTTGCATCAGTCACCATTTACTACACGGAGAGTCTTTGGCTGAAGATCGAACCCACGACCTCTTGGACATGGGCCCAGTTCCCTACCAACCAGGCTATCCAGGCCCTTTAACTGATTACTTAGTAATTTCAAGTAAATTTATTGATTGCATAGTAATATTTTGCAAATTTATCGATTGCATAGTAATTTTAAACAAATTTATGGATTGCACAATAATTTCAAACGAATTGATTGCGTAGTAATTTTAAGCTAATTAATTGATTCCATAGTAATTTCAGACCTACTTATTGATCACATTGTAATTTTAAGCAAATTTATTGAAAAAAAGTATTTTTAAGAAAATTCATTGGTTGCATAGGTATTTAAGCAAATGTTTTGATTACGTAATTGCTTTAAGTAAATTTATTGATCATATAACAAACAAGAGCATATATATTTATTTTAATATTATTCTCCATGCTTAGAAATATCAAAGTTACTGAAAAAAATTATGTGAAACTAAACGTTCACATGGTTGTAATCTATGACGTGAAATATTTTAATCTTAATCTATTCCATATTTATGGCACAATTTTATTCCCAGATTTATGAATGATATAAGGTTCATCGGCAATAAGTATATCAATTAAATCTTTTTGTAGTTTTATCAATTAAAATTAATTTATTTCCCTTGACTAGGCTGAGTTAGTTATTAAAATGGTAAAATTTTCCAAAAGAAGGTGAAATTTAAACTTATACAATTTTATTCCCAGATTTATGAATGATATAAGGTTCATCGGCAAGATGTATATCAATTAAATCTTTTTGTAGTTTTATCAATTAAAATTAATTTATTTCCCTTGGCTAGGCTGAGTTAATTATTAAAATGGTAAAATTTTCCAAAAGAAGGTGAAATTTAAACTTGTAACAATTTTATTCCCAGATTTATGAATGATATAAGGTTTATCGGCAAAAAGTATATCAATTAAATCTTTTTGTAGTTTTATCAATTAAAATTAATTTATTTCCCTTGGATAGGCTGAGTTAATTAATGGTAAAATTTTCCAAAACAAGGTGAAATTTAAACTTGTACAATTTTATTCCCAGAAATAAACAAATAACAATTTTATTCTCAGATTTATGAATGATATAAGGTTTACCGGCAAAAAGTATATTAATTAAATCTCTTTGTAGTTTTATCAATTAAAATTAATTTATTTCAAAAATGGTAAAATTTTCCAAAAGAAGGTGAAATTTAAACTTGTTTCCAAGGCACGAAGTTTGGAAACAAATACAAGAGGCGAGAGAAAACCTTCATACTCATAATCACGATCTGGAGTGAACTGCATCTAATTATTATCGGTGGATCAGAAAAATCCGTGCCTTAGAATTGATGAATTATCGCATTTCACATTGTAAATTACGCCAGTTACGGCAAACGCTGTTGTTTTCACAGTCACGCACAATAGCTCATGAATCAGCGATTTTCTCTGAACTTTTACTAGTTCTCAGCTACTGTTCCACGGGCAGAATTATTCTCGCCAAATGGTCTGACTGACGGGACCACACTTTTTGTTTTTATTTAAAAAAAAATAAAATAAAAACAAATAAACAAAAGGATCTGACCAAGGTTCTTTAAAATTCAAGGCTTAGCTTAATTTTTTTAAGATTTTTTTCTTCCCTCACATGTCTTGTAAGTTGACAAACATTTCAATGAATATGCCAAGTTATGATAGCTTGTCTAAGTTGATATTCAAAGCACATGCCTCATTTTAAGTGGTAAAGGAACTCAAATAATTATTCTCACGGTAACCCCCTTGTTCATTAAAAACGATGATTCTTTGAGTTATTGTTCATTTTTATTTCTGATGCTACTTTTTTTAAGGTTAGTTGTTTAAATGAATAATTTATAACACTTTTTATGCTGTGTGATATGTAGCATTGGTATATGTTATTAAAAGATTTATAACAACTGAGGGTTTTGAATGAATGCTGATAAAAAAGGTCATTTATGTAATTTATTTATTTATTATTATTATTTTTTAGATTTAATTTAGGATTATTTTGATCTATAATTTTTTTCTTCTTTCAAAATGCCATTTTGTTTTCTTACAATGGGATTGCATGTCGTCAATCTTGTGTCCCTATTCTTCTCTTTTTCTTCATTTTTTTTCTCACTAATATCTTTGAAAAGTGTAATATAGTTTGATGGGAATTATTTCATTTGATAATGCTTACTAAAATATCGTACTGTGTAATTTCTTTCTATTAAAAGATTTTTTGTAAAATTGTGCAAGTGCACCAGACAGTTAATGTTCAGAAAAAAATAATTAATTGTGATATTCCTAGTAATTAAATCATCCAAGCAATTAAATCGCTCACCATAAGGTTTTTGTTACCAATAAGAATTTCACTGAAATCTTGTGATGTGCGGATTTGCTTTAAATAAAACATTCTTCAAAAAAAGGAAGAAAAAAAAAAAAAACTCGGCGAACACAACGCATTTTTGTAGATCGGTAAAAAAATAAATCAAAAAAATACATTGTGCTCTCAAGATATTAAACCCAAGATTTTAGTCAGTTCATGAAATCGATTAAATTCTTGTACTGGATGGATTTGTTGTTATTGAAATACATATTTTTCAATTACATAAACGAATAACAGATTCTAAGTTCAATAAAAAATGATATTGAAATTAAAAAAAAGGAAGAAAAAAAAACTTATTTCTAGATTTAAGCCAGCTATATCAGATAAAAAAAATGTATATTGAAGATTTCTGAATTATTTATTACAGAATTTCGCGTTCTTTCCATACAACTAACATTAACATCGAAAAGTAGCGACCGCGACAAGCGTTTCTTTTAAACAGGATGAGAGATATATTAAATCAAGTTTGTTGATAAAAAGTAACACAAATGAGAAATCTAGTGAAAGAAATGTAATTAGATCGCAGGCAACTGTAGAATTAAACATACCTAAGCTACTAGGATATACATAGTTATATTGTTATTTAGAGTTATGATTCTTAAAGAATAAAAAATACTGATAATAAAGTGAAACACAGTAGATAGAAAACTGAAAAAGAATTTTTCTTAAATTTTACGGGCTGACATATTATTTTTTTAAAGTAAACAATGTTAATGAAATTCATTACTTGTATTCTGTTTTAAATTTCTTGTTCCAATTATGTTTATTTAAATTTAAAACATTTATTTGCATTTCCAATTATTTTAAGTTGGAAAATAAGTAAAAAACAACTTAGGTAATATTGACCTTACATTAAGCGACGTTTGTTTTCCATGATATCTTCTTTTCCGGATTTATTTCAAAAAGAAAATCAAATAAACTAGAAGTAATAAATAGATGATGACTAAGGTATACAGGCATATTTGCACACCTTGCAGGTGATAAGGAAATTGGAATCGTCGAAGCCACCAGCCTCGTATTTGATTTATGATTTGAAGATGTGCAACAATTGTGATATCTTCTCTTCACTTCTTGATTCAAGATTATCTTTTCTTATTAAACGCAAAATTTACTTTTTTGAAGAAAATTATGTTAAAATTAGTTTTTAAATTGGGTTTTTTATTGAGTTTTTTAATTGAGGTTTTTAATTGAGAAATGCAGAGTAATTAATAGCCCTAAAGATTTCAACTAGTTTTGTAATATATATATTTTTTAAAATATCCTAAGTATTAAAATGTTTAAGCAAACGATTTTATAAATAATATATTTTTCAAATCGTTTTCTTAATAAGTTTAATTCTTTATTTTTGAATGGCAGATGGATTTTGAATGCAAATGATTCTGCAACACTAGTGTGTATGTTATGTGTAATTTGGAACAAATTTCATATATTGAATATTTTCAGTTGTTAAATTTACGTAGTTGAGAAGTTCAAAATAACTTATAGTTTAAAAAATCATTTCAATTTGGTTAATTTTATTTACGAAAGCAAACTTCGTATTTTCGAAAATCAGAATAAAAATAATATTTTTTGCAAACGATTCTATCAATAACGCATGTTTGAAATTGTTTCTGTATCAAGTTTTATCCAGCATTTTTGAATAGAAGATGAGTTTAGAAAGAAAAAAAATAATTCTGCAACTGTGAATAAGTTAGATAGTTGAAAATTCATTTCTTACCCTTTAATATTTAAGAGAGTTAGCGCCTTAAATAAAAATAACAGATATTTAAAAGATACATAACGTCAAATATGAATATATATTTGGCGCTAAATAAATTTTAAGAATGCTTTATCTAGAATAAATTTATAATTAAACTTGTTTTCCCATAAAAAAATTTCTGAATTTATTCAGAAATTTAGATATTGGATTTGAAAATAAATTTCATAAAAATTACTCCAAATTAAAAAACTTCATTGAATATATTACATTGTAGTTATGTATACAACTTATTTATAATACTTGATCCTAAGATTTTTACCATCTGTTTCAATTGAAAGATATGAAGTATGGAGCAATAAATATGGCTTTGAGTGGGGCGAGGAAAAACTGATCTCAATTTCTTAGAAGGGTGAATTTGAAGATTGGGCCAAAATGGGCGTGTCAATGAGGATATGACTGACCTGAGGTTAGAGGTTCAATTGATCATAAGACTACTTCAATCCACTCACCCATTCTCAACTGCATATTTCTCCTTATTGTAGGCACCATAAAAATTATTTATGGGGTCCTTTCTAATACAATTTTTGTCAGAACATTATAGAAAGATTTGCCGTCATACGCTGTGTTTTTGATATGACCAAATCCAATCCCTTATCCTCGAAACAGAAGTACGCAATTAAAGTGGGTACAAGTCAACAAGAAACAGATTGTAGTGATAGTATTCAGGAGAGCAACCGTAAAATACAATGAAATTTCGAAGAAAAAAATTATTTTTATTGTTTTGTATATTGAAGAATATTTTCCTAAAAGTTAAAAAGTCATATGCGTCAGTAAAAAATCACGAAAATTCGTTGGTATGACAGCTTTTATACTAATGCGTAAATGGTTGGAAATAAGTTCTAATATATGAATAACAATTTCTCAATAAAGTGCTTTTCACACAGCAAAATGCCTGACTTATTTAACAAAAAATCGAATTTTAAAAGCATGTCGTTTAGGGTATTTTCCGACCAATAATTCTCATGCAGTATGCTGCCATAATGATTTTATTCATTTATTTCGAAAAAAATTTTTCTATCACAGTGGCTTACCCATTTAGAATAATACTATGTAATATTAGAGTTATATTTTTAACCTGAATATGCTTAATGATATTGCAAAGTTTAGACAAGTCTAAATTTTGTTAAAATAGTCCTTACTTCTGAGAAAAAGAGAAAAAACAATGCTTAGCATTTACCTGAAACTGTACTATCTCGCCTATTTTGAAGAACGGTAAAATAAAATAATTTCTGTTATTAAAGGAAAAAATTTAAACTCAAATAGTAGATAAATTATAATAATCAAATTTAGATAATAATCTTTTTCTCTTATGTTACGGTGATCAAGAACTATTATTAAAATTATACAGAAAAATGGCGCATATTTTAAAAGATTTGACTTATGACTCTGAAACGTTTACTTTAAATTTTCTTTTGGGTATTTCTTTAAATTATTTATTTTAGATAGATTTATATAGGTTCTGCACCAGAGGTTTTCGCGTAAGATATAGTTTCTAACACTGTATGATGTAGTTTCTCTGAGTGCGTATTCTAGTAAGTTTTATTGTTTTATTTTTTAATCCTGTACTTGCCTTGTCATATCTCATTTAATTCTAATAAAATTTTTAGAATCAAAAATTTTTTTTGAAATTGTTACAAGGTCTCTAATCGTTTTACTGAACCATTTCAGGAATAGATAAACATTTATGCACGTGGTACCACTTAAAATTAAAACAAGGTAAATTTCATTTTGCTGAATCTTTTGATCTTTGATCGTTTTAACGCGTCTCTACACTGCAGACGTGATTTGTCCCCAATAGAATTTATCGCGAAATCACATAAAAAGCAAAAAATCATAGTTGAAAATTTTGTGTCAAGCTTTGTATTTGTATAAAATTTAAAATAAATAAAAATAAGATGCAGAATAGGACAAACTGAAACCTGTTCTCTTTCAACTGTTAGTCGAGCAAGAATATGATTTTATTGTTAATTTATAATTTGAGTGAGGAAAAAATGTCTTTTCTTACTTAAAAAATGTTACTTTTGTTTTCAATTCAACTCTCAAAACTTCGGCTTTCTATGATTGCATATTTTTTTCTTCTTGTCCTAAACCTGATTTTTTTTCTTTTCTGCGTGATTTGATACCAACATATTTGCAATTTTTCAAGCAAACACATTTTTTTTCCTCATTTGTTTATTGGATTATAATTTGTTTGCTTTCGATTAATTCTGCGGTTTAGCTAAGACAGCCCAGAGCTTTTTCATGACTTTTAGGGAAAAGATGCCCTTAAATATATTTAGCTGAATTTATTATCAGCTGAATAAATGGAAAAAGAACTGTTTTTGTTGCTTTAATATACATTGTTTTTTCAGCTGAATAAAAGAATAAAGCTCGATAAACAATTTTAAAGCAATTTATTTCTTTTTCGTCTTTCAAAAAGAAAAATCGCTATTTATTTTATACGATATTTCTTGTATATAAAACATGTACTACATATGTCACTTGTTATATGTTTGTTAATTGTTATACATGTTTTTATTTTCTTGTCTGAATTTTCTAATGAGAAAAGTCAACTAGAATGAAATTAACAATATTATGAATTCCCGATAAGATAAATATGCATAGTATGCTTTATGAAATAATATTGAATCATATTTATTTCAAAATGGTGACAAAATGGTTTCTTTTTTTATCATCTGTTTATATAGTTGTTTCCGTTTATTGTTTTTCAAGTATCAATTAAGCAATCGGAGAAAACGAGTCGCCAACCCACTGTCTTATTTTGATGAAGTTATTATTTTTGGAAGTAATATTTCTTGCATTCA